CTGATTTTGGTTTTCCGCTGTGCACTGATTCGCGGTCTCAGGAACGCTGCTTGAAGTCTTCGTACTGCTGGTGAAGCCCTAAGACACAAGTGAGATGAACAGCTTCAAGCAGCACAGGTAAGCACATAACTCAACATGGCTAGACAAGCGTCGCTGAAGCTCATTGTCGATTGCGTCCCGCTCGGCAACAGCTTGTTCTCCTTAGTTGGGTGAGCCAATTCATACAACACTGTAGCTACTAGCAAACTGAATATTCTTCAGTGTTATCCTTATACACTTCCTTAAGAGTTCTTCAATATTATCCTAATACAAACTCCTTCTAAGGCCGCCCTAGCCTAGGATCCCCCCAAGTTTTCAGAAACAACAATGTAGTTAATCAGGAGACATGTCCTGGCATCCAGGACTAGATTCGACTTTTCACTGCCTCTGCTGCTTCGGCCAGAGCGTCGTCTCCTTGCTGTGGGCCACTTCAGACAATTTGATTATCCACACTCAAGAATGAAAGCTCTCACCTCTCACTTAGCAAGAAAGCACATAAAATCATGCCGGGATGCGCATGCCCCTTGCAACATCTGCCATGTCCTCTTCTGTGAGGCCTCAGGCACGATCGTGACACTGATCCTTTTTCTGGGTCGTTAAGCACCCTTCCCCTGCCCAATTGCAAGAAACCACCTTAAACTATTCCAAGATACGAGTCTGGAAGGCATCATTGGCGAGCAGCTCCTCGTGCTCACCTCAGGCTCCATCGTGATAAGAAAACACAAAAATAGCTTCTGCTCATGAACAATGAAGGCAGAGCAGGCTGGCCCTGAACATACTCCCATACTCGTTGAGGCGGCTTCAGGCAGGATGCGTGCTGCACGGGCTTCTGACGCAGCCGCCACCGCCTCATTTCCTTGGGGGGTAGGTCATAAGATGTGATCATGACAGCTAGCGCCACCGACTACAGTGCTGCTGTATCCAATGCAGCAACCAAGGCACGATCGGCGTGTGCTTGCTCTCGCTGGCGCTGAACTTAGTAGGGCACACTTGCAAACGTACATGTCCCCACAGAAACAAGCACAGCAGAGAAGCATAAGAACTTGCATGTTAGAGGTCAAGGAGCGAAAAGCAAGTAATCGTCGATTGTCCCGCACAGCATCCGACGGGCCGGGTTTTCCAAACCACTTGGTTGTCACCATTGCGGCACAGGGATCTACAACTACTCTTAGTGACTACCACAGTAGTGACACAGTGATCAGTGGTAGATTGTAGTGGTAGTGTTAGTGGTAGATTGTAGTGACGTAGTGGTAGTGGTTGTGGTAGTGGCGGCCATATTTCTCATGTGCAATGGGGAAGGGTTTAGGGTTAAGGAATTTGGAGGGTAGAGCTGCTACCTTCGTGTTTGACAAATACTATTCCTGGCATTGTGCTAGATTGGCACCGAGGCATTTTCCCGCAGGGCGTGGCTAAGAATTGGGGCCATTCGGTTTCGGGTTTAAGGTTCAAGGTTTAGGGGTGTAGGGTTCAGGGTTGTTGAGGCTGCAACTCTCTGGCAACGGCAGCAGAATGCGACCACCAGTGCTCAAGATCCACGAATTGAATGTATCCACAGATAGCAACCGTTCTCCTTGAAATACTCAAAGTTCATGCACTCAGGCCGAGACCAGAGCTGGGCTGCAACCAGGCAGGGCCGTGTCGGTTTGAAGCTCTGCCTTGCATGTTGCACTCAGAATCAGCCCCAAATGAAGCAACATCAGTTGGCGACCATATTCACTAAAGCTGCGAGTCATTAGTGTTCTTGATGCGTACTGTCCGGTGATCCCGGAAGTTTTGTTTAGCATACCGTGTCGCTTAATGTGCACATGTACTGCAAACCTGCTGTCACGGCTCAATATTCCTCAGCTAGAAAATGCATGCATCGGCCTGGAAAAAAACAACAAAACCACAAGTCCTAGGAGCCTGAATCAACAAGATCCTGTGTCGGAGCAGAAGCAACATTCTGCACGTAGATCTTGACAGTGAATGCCCGTGAGAAGGCCCTAGCCATGAAGAAAGCACAGGCACCAGGGCCACTGCCACCGCCCCCGCCCCCGCCAGAGCCAGGAGAAGTGCTAGGAGCACCAAAGGCTGCAACGTCGGCTGAGAGACGGACGGTCGCCTTCAAGCAACGAGTGGAGAGCCTGGAGCAAGTGGTTCAGAACTCCTACCAGGCGGTAGATACTACGCTGACCGATCTCAGCAAAACGATCAAAAGTGGGCATGAGAAGATGGTGGCTCTTCTGGAACAGAAATACAAAAGCGATGCCGCAGCGCTTGAGGCCAAGTTTGAGCTGAGGCTCAGAGAGAAAGAGGAGGAGCTCAAAAAGGCTTACAACAGAGAGCTGGCACAGAAGATGGACGAGAAGGACAGTAAGATCGCGTCCCTGACAAAAGCCATGGCAGAGCAAGAGAAGAAACAGGCAGCTTTTTGCAAGGCCAACGATGACCTAGCAACATGCCACAAAGCGAACATCAAGACGATCGACGACCTTCGAACAGAAAACAAAGAGCTCCAGCGGCAGAACAGAGTGGCGAAGCAGAAGCTGGAGGAGCGCCGGTATGCATGATCATGAAAGACTTAAGTCCCCAGCCGTTTCCGTGCACGCAGGCGAACGAGGTGCACTTCAAAAGGCAGGATGTCTTCATCGCGAACCTCGAGGCCACATGCAACGTGATTCATATTTGTTCAGTTCTCGTGTGCACTGAAACACAAACATTGTGTTGCAGGGGCAGATCAAAGGGATGAAAGCCCTGCCGTCAAAGCAGAGCCCGTCAGGCAGAGAGCATCAGCTGGCAGGTAGAGGGTTCTAAATTACCTAGGCTGGCTTTGTTTCCGTTTAGTGTGTTCTGTTATGATGAAACCATGAATTCGAAAACGCAACAACCATGATTTCCAGGTCTGGAAGGCGAACCCCCTGCAAAAGCTCCGAAGCGATCGTGAGTGAACGGCGGGTGTTTCACAACAGCCTGTTCAAGCTAAGCAAAAAGACTTTATAATAGGCTTAGGGGCACAGGTTTGAGCGTTTTCGTTTTAGGGCTTGGTCGGCGTCTGCAATATGGGTTAGTGTGTATAATAAAGGTTTAGAGCTCAGGGCTTCGAGTTTAGGGTTTAGGGGCTTAGAGCCTGTAGGTGTTTAGAGGTTATGAAGGATATAAGAATTAAGCGATGATGTTTAAGGCAGTATAAGAGCATAGTGCAGGGGTGAGTAGTGCAGGACCACTCCACGAAGTGTCAGCATCGGTTTGCGGAAAAACAAAAGCCGGTTTGCCCCTACTAGACGTCGTGCACACTTGCATTGTCACACGCAGTTGGTGCAGCAAGCATGTCTCAGGCCGTGGCCGTACGAATGCGAAGGCTGGGCCGTGGACGTCCTGGCAAGCACTGGGTCAGATTTGCATAATTTGTTGTTAAAAGAATGTACAATTTCCTTGTGCAGCATCATCACAGTTTCTGTGCCAAAACACACATGGCAACTGATTGCAACCTGAGTTTTCATGGCAAAAACAGCCATCTACGGGCCACCGGTATCGATGCATTCATTCAGAAGTTGAAAAGAAGCCCCGGTATGACTTCGGCAGTAAGTGACCCTAAACCGTAACCTTATTCAATAACCCTACACCCGAACCCTAAACCCTCAATCCTGATCCCAAATGCTGCCCGCCTTGATGGTGTAGCTCCCCCGGTGCTTCCAGCTCTGACAGGCCTCACACTGCAGCGCAAACGAGGTTACAGCGCGATTGAGGATCTAATGTAGGGCTCCGGCTCTAGAATGTGCTGCAGCCGAGCATCTAGCAGCGCTGATACAATCAACATTCCAGCTTCATTGTTGGATATTGCTGGACATGCAAAATCCATCAAAAAAACGCAGTGATGCAACATCTCCGGATATTTGCGCTTCAGGCCTTGGACTGTTTTGTTGCTTGATTTCATTCAACAAATTGCTTCACACTTTAGGTGCAAGTTGCCATTAGTCCTGGATGCCAGGACAGTGATACATGTTGCTGATTGTTTTGTGGCTGGAGTTCAGTCGACACAGCTTCACAGCAGCAGTAGTAGCAGTAGAAGTAGCAGTAAGTGCAAGTACTCGTAGTAGTAGTAGTAGTAGTAGCAGTAGTAGTAGTAGCAGTAGTAGTAGTAGTAGTAGTAGTAGTAGTAAGTAGTAGTAGTAGTAGGCTAGTAGTAGTAGGCTAGTAGTAGGCTAGTAGTAGGCTAGTAGTACCAGTAGTGCCTACTGTTCAAACCATGGCCACTTGACCAGTGGTTAACAAGATGGACACTGCTTGACCAGTAGTGCCTACTTTTCAAACCATGGCCACTTGACCAGCGGCATGCAAGACATGAGGTGGACACACCACTTGACCAGCGGCGCCCACTGCAAACATGGCCACTTGACCAGCGGCATGCAAGAAGCAAATGGTGGACGCCGCTTGACCAGCGACGCCCACCGTGCACATGACAACCCGCCTTGCACATGCACTCTGAGGGCACCGGCCGCTGATCAGGACGGGTGATTTAAGGCTTAGGGTTTATGGGTTTAGTGATTTAAGGCCTCAGGGTCAAGGGCTTGGGGGTGGCTTGAAAAGGTGTAAAGTTCTAGGGGTCAAGGGCTTGGGGTGGCTTGACAAGGTGTAAAGTTCTAGGGTTCAGGGTATAGGTTTTGTAGGGTTAAAGGGTTTAGAAATGAAAGGGCTTAGTAAGGTTAGCAGGGTTCAAGGGTTGGTGTTTAAGGTTCAGGGCCTTGAAAGATGAAGGGTTTAGGTAGATTTAGGTTTTAGGGTTTCATGGTTTGTCTCAAAGACTTATAATAATATATATATATATATATATATATATATATATATATATATATATATATACCAAACTGAGCACGAGAGGACTCCAATACACATGTACAGACATACATGCATGCATACATACACGTACACACAGATGCCAGCCTCTTGGAACTCCTCGCTGCTGTTTAGTCAATGCTCCCCCGATGGCTTTGTCTCTGACAAGGTGGGGCAAGGGATGTCAAGGGCTCTAACTGGTTTCCTAGTACACAGGTGATCAAGTAGCCCCTCAACATAAGTCCTGGATTCCAGGACAAGCACAGTCCCTAATGCAAGAAACCACCAGCAAGTTATTGGATAGAACAATGACAAGTAGAACCTGACTCCCTGTGCCATTCTTTCACTCTCGGCTAACAGCCGGCAAGTCTACCCGAACAGAATTTTGTTTGTCTTTGTTTTGCCGTGCTATTTGTAGGGGGTGTTGTAACTGAAAAGCAGAACAAAACAGATTTCGATCAGGCATGTAAACCTACAAAGAAATCTTCTACCACACCTCAACAATGACAATGTGCGCCCCCCCTCACCTCCCACAGAAGACTCTCCAGTACCTGTCCAGTACCTCTCCGGAACCTCTCCCGTACCTCTACCGTTTTCCCCCGACACCTCGACCAAATCTTGTCTCTGTTGCACAGGCCCACCCAAAACTAGAAAAAATGTCACTAACCACCAGCAAGACTTGACCGCACTGGTGGGCGCCAGGTCAGCGGAACTTCTCACATTGCAGCTGCTGCGCGCGGGCCCCGAGGGCAAGGACCACACAAGCGTCTCGATGGAGCGTTTTGTCATGCTCCCACACTTTACACCAGAGTATGCTGTTCAGTGGTATCGATTCAAGGTCCAGGCCATCGTGGAGCATCATGGCGAGCAGATTACCTCAGGCCATTACCGCTCTGTTCTCAGAGTGGACGTGAATGAGTGGCTACACACTAACGATGGCCAGCCGGCAGAGCGCATCTGTTGGTCTCCTGAGCGTGGCAGCCTTGCTTATTTGATTTGGCTCACTCCTGTTGGGGATTCTTCCAGTTCACCGGAAGAGCGACCGCGCCTAGCTCCTCCCCGCCCTGTTGACGATCTGCATGGCGGAAGAGCTCCGGGAGAACATGGAAACTGATGAGGTGCAGGATGGGGAGCAGGAGTGGAATTTCTACAGGAATTTCTGGCCTTCTGGCCAACCCGTGCCCTCTGACTCCTCCACGGCGGTTACGGATCCCAAGCCCGAGGAGCGTGAGACCAAGGCTGCTCGGCATGGTGTCAGCAAGGGTCAGGGAAAGAAGCCGCCAGCGGCAGAGGCCGCTCCCCATTCTGGTGAGGCTGCCGGCGACGCCGGCCATGGATCGCTGTCCTCAGTCAAATCCCAAGGCACGGAGCGGAAACGGGAGCATCTCGGTGGTGGTGGTGGTGGTGAGACCTGGGGTGGAGCGGTGCAGAGGCGCTCACGACCGGCCGCGCGCAATGGTGGTCATCCTTGGCAGTCTCGAGGCCACTGGCCCTCCGCAAGCTGGAGGGGGTGGGGGTGGTGGCGGTGGCGGCGGCAATGGCGCCATGAGGGAGATCAGAGACCTTCAATACTCTCTGGGACTCGTTCAGCGTTTGGTGCTTCGGCTGGAGGATTGCGCTATTCTTGCTCGCATCGAGTCCAGCTTTGTTATCAATTTCAAGCTGAATGTTCCTGCTTCGGTAGTTCCCATGCTCTTCACTGCTGCGGGCTCGTGGAGGAAGCAAAAGACTGAGGAGCCAGCCACGCTGGACCGCCCCATGCGCTGCGCCCTTTTCGCCGAGCTTAAGGATCGAGTGTTGAAGATTGTGGAACAGACGGACAAGATGCAGGAGATGGAGGCTATGGGGTGGGTTTCGGGTGGCATGCCCATCACCTGGCACTTCATGAGATGGGACCCAGAGTCCCAGCGTCAAATTGCCGACACCGAACGCCCTCCTCTGACCCAGTTGGAGCTCCTGGAGGCTATTGACGGCATCTTGGCGCTGATTCCTCGCCAGTTCGTAGTTGCGCGATTCCATCCGACCCGGAAGCTGACCCAGGAGATGCACGGCACAAACCTTGTTTTTCTGCTTCAGACAGGACAGCATGGAGTATGGGCGTCGGAGCTTCGTGACACCCTCAAGCGTCTGTGTCACAACGCTGTCTTCCACCTGATGGCAGCAGCGCTCAAGGCGGACAAACAAAGCCGTTCAGCGCTGGCAAACGCGGTTGCAGCCTGCATTCAGTGATGCTCTGCAGCGGCTGAGTGTGCAGTCTTCAGATCCCAGCTGGGCATTGCTCATCTGTGCTGTTGATTGCAGCCCGCATGAGCCCAAGGTTGGCATTGCTGTTCATTGTGGGTTGGTTGCTTAGGGCCTTCTTAATTTTGTCTCGGTGGTTGCATCAGGAGTAGCTTGCTTGGCAGTTCGCTGCAGAGCTGCTTCTGCTGCCCTCTGTGGCGGTCATCCTTCGCTGCTTATCCTAATCTTAGTGTTTTTGCACTCCGCTACCAGTCATTCGGCATAGCTCGTGAAACTGGCTGTGGCGGCAGTGGACCCTTGCTTTGACTCGCGAGAAAGGATTGTCTTGCGCCTTCTGCCGCTCCTTGCAGTGCCCTGGGTGGACGCTCTTCCCACGCGTGCTCGCTGAGGCCGCATCGCCATAGGTGGCATGAGTCGCCGTGACTGATGCATGGATGCCTGGATCGACGCGTGCCGGGCAGGGCAACCTCACAGGAAAGATCATGTCGAGCGGTCTTGCCTGCGCTGGAATCCTGATGCCTGCTTGTCTCTTGCTTGTGCCCGTAGCATGGTTACACTCAGGGCGTTTTCAACTTCAGGGTAGGACCATGCTCCAGCTCCATCACAGACCTGCGCCGGTGCACCGTACAACAAACCTCATGTACATGGAGGAGAGCGATCACTGCATCGAGGTCGTTGTGATTCCGGGGTCCTCATCCTGTGCTCATGTGATGGAGAAGAAGATGAGTCGGAGGGCTCGCTGATCTCGGAGGCTGCTCCTAGTATTGTCAGCCAGTCTGCAGCTCCAAATGTGTATCACGGTGTATACTTTGCGGGTTCCCGGCCACTCATGCCATGTGAGGATGATCTACGTCGTGAGTTTCTAGAGCAAGGCATCTATCTACTTCGTGGTTCTGACATTGAGGGGCTCCCAATGCCGGACATGTCTAAACCTGACGCCTTAGCATTCTCGCTGCTTGCGCATGGTCAAGCTCGCTGGTGCCAACTTGAGAGGCTTGTGCAACTTCTTCCATGTGACAAATCTCTGCGCTGGCGGCAGGACCACTCACAGATTTCGCCGCCACCAAGGCGTTTTACCACTGGTGCCTGGAACCGAGGTCCCCATGCTGGCATCAACGTCATGGCAAGGCTATACCCATGGAGTTCTAGGGCATTGTCATCCATCTTAGCCACTTGGGATTCAGCATTGTCTTTCACTTCCTGCACTTTGTCGCTAAACACCTCGGCGGCGCCACATCGCGATCGCTTTAATCATCCACTTTCTGAGAACCTGGCTCTTCCTTGCTCGTCGTTTGAGGGGGGCGAGATTTTCATTGAGGATGAGGCGGGCCGTTCAAGGCTGAGCCCAGAGGGTCCAGCCGGGAATATCACCAGCATGAAGTGGCCAGTGGCTTTTGCGCCGCGCAGGTTACACGCCACATTACCGTGGAGCGGCGTAAGGCTAATTCTCATCGGCTTTCACATTGGGCAATCCGACAAGCTCTCAGCTTCGGCCTTGGTCTCACTGCGCCGCCTGGGTTTTCGTCCTGGATTCACCACTTTCGTGTCATCTTGACCGCTGCATGGCTGGCACCGACGCGCGCGCCTTATGGTACCACCCTCTTTGCCTTACGTTCGGGTGGCGCGCAACGTAGTGTGTCGTCAGTGCATTGCGAAAGCTGGCCGTCGTGGGCTACAAGAACAACTTCATGTAAGCAGTGAGCTTCGCTGTGAAGGGGTCGTGGTAGCAAGGTGATTCTTTTCTTCTTTGGTGGTGTCACAGCCGTGCTGATGACGTCACTGTTGTAATCTGTTCGTCTGGACTGTTTGTACAGGAGCGAGGAGTGACTGCAGGACCTTGGTCCGAGTCTTCGCATGCTTGGTTCTGCGGGACGGTGCGGCTCTGCACTTTACTTGGCTTATGCCTATCTTGTGAGGATGTTTTAAACATCGTTGCCCTTGGGTAACCGGGCTTTTTTAGCTTGCTCGCTACCACGCGAGGCGGAACTCGGACTTTCGTCGCGAATGGAAGGAAGCAGTAGCAATAGCAGTAGCAGTAGCAATAGCAATAGCAATAGCAATAGCAATAGCAATAGCAATAGTAATAGTAATAGCAATAGCAATAGTAATAGTAATAGTAATAGTAATAGTAATAGTAATAATAATAATAATAATAGTAGTAATGGTAATAGTAATAGTAATAGTAATAGTAATAGTAATGGTAATGGTAATAGTAATAGTAATAGTAATAGTAATGGTAGTGGTAATGGTAATTGTAATGGTAATAGCAATAGTAATAGTAATAGTAATAGTAATAGTAATAGTAATAGTAATAGTAATAGTAATAGTAATAATACTAGTAATAGTACTAGTACTAGTACTAATACTAGTACTAGTACTAATACTAGTACTACTACTACTACTACTACTACTACTACTACTACTACTACTACTACTACTACTACTACTACTACTACTACTAATACTAAGTACAAGTACAAGTACTAGCACTAGCACTAGCACTAGTACTAGTACTGGTAATGGTAATGGCAATGGTAATGGTAGTAGTAATAGGAACAGTAATAGTAATAGTAATAGTAATAATAATAGTAATAGTAATAGTAATAGTAATAGTAATAGTAATAGAGTGTATGTCGTCGTGGAGGCCTGCTTTTCTCGAGCAAACCAGCTATTTTTTACTATATTTTAAGCTATTTCAACTTCCGACATACAATTTGGAAAGTGACATGTGGACATGCTGCATGTCCCGGCAGGTACATTCACGCTGACACAAAAACATAATATCTCTAAACTTTCACATCGCAGCAACTGACGGCCGAACGTCAGTACGCTGAGGTCCAGACCTGTCAGATGTACGTACTGTGGAACTTGTACATAATTACGACATAGCACAAACTGACGTCATTGCATGGCATGCGAACGATCTGTGAGTGTTTTCGATCTGGGCACATCTACCGTTTTTTTCACACATCGACTGCGAACTGGTCCACAACTAGAGTGAGTCCGCTGTGTAGGACGTAATAGCCTGACTACCGCTTCAGTGACGGTCTACCCCACATGTTCTATCAGTTCAGAACTGATAGAACAGCAACAGATCGTAAATGACTATTGCATAATACTGAAGACCGAAGTATGAATGGTGACTTGTGAAGCCATCAACATTGAGACATGCACTGAAGTCACGCAGACCTTACGACCGGCTTGTGACACGATGGGGCTAAGTCACAGAACAAGGACGCATCGAAATGTGCACCAGAAACTTAATTACCACCAGGTCTTATCGTCTCTCACTTGGTGTTCTTCAGATGCTTCTTGATGACATTCGTCTTGGAGGAGGCTGGCTTACGGCGGATAGACGTCGAGGAAGTGGACGGTTTCCCAGACCCGGACGAGGATACCGCTGCCGGGCGTCGACACGTGTACTTGTGCGTCGCTGGCTTCCGCCAGACACCCACGGACTTGGCCACCCGGCGATGCGCGCTGAACTTGTTCAGGTGGAGAACATACTTGTTCCGGATGAGGTCGTTGTGGCGATCGACATAGCGCAAGACAGTGAAGATGTGTGCGTCACGTGACTTACTGTTGAAGGTTGCCGCGTAGCCTCTAAACCAAGCAAAGGTTTGCTCGGCTATGGAAGTGTTGACATTCTTCAACCGAATATCCAAACGCTTCACATTCAGGGGCGAGCATTGACACGTGCTGGAATGTCGCCGAGCATGAAAGCGATCCACGCACCAGGATTTGACACGCTTCAAGTCCTTGTGCTTTTTAACGGTTGCCATACACCTGCAAATACGGTCGTAGATGACGCAATCCGCATTGGGGGCCTGAAGGAGTGTAATACCTCGAGCATGACGTCGTTGTTCTCCAGGTCTGTCATCTCGGAAACCGCGATAACCAAGCCACTGCCAGGGTCCATGCTCATGAACCATCCGTTATGTCGCTGTTTGATGCGACCATCTTTCCGTGGTCGTCCGGTACGAGCAGGGGGCGTAGTCGAACACTTCGTGGAAACCTTCTCATGTCCGTCCATGACGATTTCTGTAATGCGGTTGCGCTCAGCGGTAGAGAGGTGATGGGAGTGCCACCATGTCGAGTACTCGTGTACAAGATCGTCAGCGAGAGGATCCTCAATGTCTAGCGCGTGCAATTTCCGAGCCAGGATATGCGGTGCTTCCTTAGACCACATGTCCTCGGCCGCCTGGATAATCGCTGTAGTAGAGAGCTGCTGCGGCGTACTCCCTGGACCATCGGTAGTGATCGTTGTCACCTTTCCATAACGTCTCTTCCTGAGCCCAAGCTATGGCGTTGTTGCTGATGCACCCCCTGAATTGAAGAGCAGCGTGGTAGTCCAAGAAGTCCTTGCTGAACCCTGTCTTGCAACTCATGAAGACACAGTCAATGTCCTCCGCGTGGCACGTATTCAACTTTCGACCATCCAACCATCGGTAGTTGTAGTGATGGTACACCCGACAAGACTTCCTAGTGCATCGCATTTGAACGTGATGAACAGACTCCACACCGGACAGCGTGTAGAGGCGGGCATCAATGTGCTTGTCAGGAGCCAGTGGAGCTCCACACTCTACACAGGACTTCCGGAAAGTTGCAAACTTCTTCTTGTCCATGGCGTTAGGACGAGGACCATTTCCACACAGCGTGTATTCGGGACCTGTTGGTGTTGAATTGGATGAGTCTTGCTCGAGGAGACGGAAGCAGGTGATGTTGTCCGTCTCCTCCATCAGCGCTTGAAAGTCAACGAAAGGAAGCCACAGATGTCGACCTTCGGCCCAACCGTCAACCATGGCAACACCTCCACTTTGTGGGAAAAGAGCTGCCCACCAATGTCCATGTCCGAGATCAACTGGTTGATGACAGATCCAAACATCGTCAGACTTCGCAGTCATGTGCTCGCTGTCGGCGTGGATCAGCTGTAGGCTCTTATTCGAGTTGGACTCCGCGACTTGTTTAAGAGCATGGTTCAGAATTGATGCGCTCATGGGGGCAGTAGACGAGCAGTATACACGCAGTGCTTCCATGTTGACATCAGGTGCGACGATGGAGAACGCATAGAGGAGGCAGTTCTCTGTGACAGGCACAGCGGCGACAGACTCCACGATGGCACCGCGTCGTAGGGCAGCATGTGGGAGCGAGGCTGGCTGCAGAGCTGTTGCCCAGGATTTAATCTCCATTGGAGTGATCTCCGCAGAAACTTTGTCCAAGGCAATGACCATGTTCATCTCCGCAGCAAAGGACGGGGTCATCACGTAGGCACCGTCGAACATAAGGACATTCGTCAACGTTGCACATCCCTCCGTGAAAGCAGACAGCATGTCCGCCTCGGTGAACGAGAGCATAGCAGAGAGCCTTGAGAACTCTGGATTGCGTCTATCTGCATACAATCTCGACCACATTGTTGCGCTTGGGTGACCTAGCAATGACTCAGCCGCCTTCTGGACTTCATCGCATAGCTTGAGTAGGAATGGAGCTTGTATACTAGGTCGACCTCCATAGAAGATACGGATCAGCTCCGTCTTCGCATCGGCCGCCGTCTTGTCCATATACTTCGTCACACACCGACGCCATGCTTTAAAGTTCTCATTGAAACGTTCAAGCATAACGTATTTCGTAGAGTCCCACAGACCAAGATCCTTCAAATGCTTTGCCAAGAGACGTGGATGGCAACATGCAGCGTCAACCTCGGCACACATACTGCCAAAGGCCACATTCCGTGCTTCCTTGGTCAGTTTCTGCCCGGATGGGCCCCGAGCCATGTATCGACCGTAATGCTTTGGCTGGTAGTACTCCACGTTGATCTTGGACTGGGAACCTTCTTGATAACCATGACTTTCATGGCGCTCAATGTACTGTCGAAGCATGTCTTGCCTTCTGTCTACGTTGAGCTGGATGTACTGCTTCAGAGCAGGAAGGTCGACAGTTTCCTCCAGGGAAGTTACCGTCGCACTCACGGTTGCAATAACTCCAGCACCACTAGACTTGTGGGCTTCCATGTATACACGATCCGAGCTGAAGGCCTTGTCTTCCCACTTCTCTTGAATGTGCAGAAGATCAGATGGACAGGCCCAGTCTGCCCATGTGCCGAAGACTTTATCGCCTCCCTCCTCCTGCATGAACGTGTATAGGGATGTCCAATCAAGCAAGAGTTTCGCAAAGCCTGTGGAATCGATTTGCTGGAACAGCTTGACATCTGAGTGGTCTAACGCATCAATAAAGTTAGCCATCTTGGTTCGCTTTCCCTTGGACGATGATGCACAACCTGGCAAGGCTTCAACTTTCGAAACGAGATACTCCTTGACAATGCGCCTCATGGGTGTAGCTGCATGGACGGTAGCCACGATTTCATTGGATTCCTGCAGTTTCTGATCCGTGGCACCCGGAGGAAGCGTTTTGTTGCCAGATAAGCACGTAGCCAACCACGTTGTATCGATCTCCAGTAGCTCGCTCACAGAAGCGAGGTTGTTGATCATGGCCAAGGAATCCTGAAGTGTATTCTCCTGGAAGAAAGGAAGACACCACTCCCGAAAATAGATTGCAGCAGTCACGGGGTGTGACAAGAAGGAGGACAGCTCGTCCTGTGCAATGAGCTTGAAAACACCCTTTGCCGGGTCCACTTGAGCGTCGTCTGCTGTGAAGACACCTTTGCCTAGCCGGACGCAAACCACACGTCGCTTGAGCTGCTCACAGCATTTGCGTCTGTCGCCACATTCCTCGATCACAGGAATATTCTCGTAGTTGAGTTCCTGGATTTCATGGAGATACCAAACCGGCGCTTACTGGTGAACCCATAGTTCACTCTACAGTCCACCTCCTCGTCTACGACGAACCTCTTCCAGAGGTCAGCGATGAACCTAGCGTGGTGATCCATTTCCTGGATCCTCACGGTCGATTTGTTCCACGCTAGCTCCCCTGACTTTCGGAACTCTGTACGATCCAGAAACACTCCACAGTCGAGAGTAGAGCTTCCTGAATCACCGAAAAGAGCGCGATCTAGAACAGCCTCCATACCTTTGCCATCGCCTCCACTACCCAGTAGAAACAGCATTTTCGATGTACAGGCTCTACGGAAGGCCGCATGAAGAAAGCACAACTTGATCTGAAAGCCATGCCAATTCTCGAAATATGTAGACATCAAGAAGAGACGGAGCTTCTCTCTGAACTTCTGCAGGTTCACATCTGGGTAGAGATCCATGGAGTTCTCAAACTGGTACGGGTAATCTAGCTTCAGATAGCAGTTGTTGTCGGAAGACTTGTCCGCTACACACCAAGAACCATCGAGATATACATCCTGAAAGCAAACTCCCTGAGTACGTGGCATCGGCATGTCCCATGGCAACGGCATGTCCCACTCAATCAGGAACAACTTCGTCAGGGTCACGATGATCGCATTGGAGTCTAGTTGCTTCCGAAATATAGCCACCATGTCTGCCATCCGACGAGTCCATTTTGCGAGCCAGACCTTGTTAGATGTCTTCTGGCGCAGGTGAGCCTTCGAAACGGCCATCAGTGACAGACCGACATCCTTGCTCTCGCCGATCAAGGCATTCACGATGTTCATGACATGGGACTCAGCCTCGGTCCATGAGCACCCAATGACCACGGACGCCTCCTCAAGATTCGTGGCGAGCTGAATGAAGAGGCCCTCGAGAGCTAGTAGCCCGTCCCAAGCATCCACCTTAAGTTCCGATGCCATGATCCAAGCACCATTTTCATAATGGAATACTTGCTTATGATGTGCACGCCACAACTTGCTCTCCATGAGCATGATCACGCCCAACTTGTGTTTGCTCGACATGATATAGTTGGACATCGTCGCATCTGAAAGATACCTGGCCATAGAGACAAGAATCCGTGTGGTTTCATGTAGCCCTTGATGAAGGTCTGTCTCCCGCCAATTCACAAGCTCAGTGACATGGTCTTTGAGTTTGTCCGGTGGAGGGACATGAATTGGAGGATGTGGGTCTGGACCCGCGGCAACTCCCTCTTCGTGGATGGTAGAGTAGGCTCGGAACCTTAATGTTATTACAAACTCAAAGGAGCCTATCAAGCCTATCACCAATGATTCCTGAACAGCAATTGTTTGGAAAAGCTTGCCACTGAGTCCAATACAGATCAGGTCCTCGAAGGCGTTTATTCGGCGGGGGCTGTGAAGATGCTGGATCATCCGGTTCACCTGGTGCAGATGGATCCTCGGCATTCATTTCATCATCCATGATGCGCTCCAACTTCACCTCTAGCGAGTCCACGAGAGGCGTAGAGGAGGTCATGAGTCCGACAAGGCGAGGAGAATAAACCTGGAAAGAGGATTGGTACCTCCGTAAATATCTGAGAGCTTGATTGACACGACATCAGCAAGCACCGGTAGGAACACACAACTGCATGTCCAGACACCATGTGCATGTGGTTGCCCTTCGTAGACACACCAAGGAAAGCGATCTTTTTGTTATCTTGGACGTCAACGCCAATTGAATCTCGAGTACTACATTACACGATTAGTTGCACATCATCCATTCTTCATGATTACATGAGGATGCGCATGGCGCTTGTATACGTCCTCATCGTTTACTGGAGACTTGATACAGGACATATATATCGAACGCATAGATGAAGGTGGCTCATGCAATGCCACTGATATCTGCACGGATATGAGGCTTTCGTCCAGGCCTCCATCTGTGAAGGAAATTATGATTCGCAGCACGGTATCCGTAGCCTGTCAAGGGCGAGGCTTCTATGAAGAAGCAAGCGGTGGATCCCTGGAGTGAAGATGTATGACAATAGACATCTCCTTTGTCTACTGGGATTGAGTTAACCTTCAAGACAGTTGTGATGGATATGCAGTCTGATGGATAAGGAGGAAGTATGCTTGGAGGTAGTAGCGGACAGCGAGGTCGGTTTGCTTCTCCGTCCTACCTGAATTACAGAGGCTGTTGACGGCGCTACCAAGAACAGAACAATACCCAGCATATGCGAGGAGATGCCATAACCGTACTTGGAAAAATGGAGTTGTGTGGTTCGAAACACAAATTTGTTTCATCACTATGAGTTGTACTGGGATTTCTCACACAGCTCCATTTTTCCAATTGCCGTTATGGTCTGTTTTCGGTGCGGAAGTTTCGTGCTCACAGTGGGTATTCATGTTTTGGCAAAGGTATAGTAGAAGAACATCAAGTTTTCCGCCCAGCGTAGGCTTTACTAGGACTTGCCACACAACTTCATTTTTCCAACTACTGTTATGGTTATGGTATGTCTTCGGTCCGGAGGTTTCGAGATGAAAGTGGCTAGTAATATTATGGCAAAGTGCAGTAAAGTAACAGAAATAATTTGGGTGCGGCATGGTAACTTAGTGCATGAATGTGGTTTGGTGCGTTCTGCTGTCAATGTACGAATAGAATCTTTGGCTCGACTTGGTGACGCATCTGGGCAAGCAGAAAAACATTACTTCATTGTATGGATATAAGTAGCGGGGCCCCAAAAGGATGTTTTTTCTGTACTTTTTTACTATTGCTGGCCTAGGATTTTTGCGCCGCAAAATGATTTCCCAGGGGTTTTAGACGCGAAAATCTGCGCATAAAAGTATTTGGAAAAAAAACGCGCGTGGCCCACCCTCAAAATTGACCCCCCCCCCCCCACCCACCAACCGCGGCTTCAAGACATACAGAAGGCTTAGACATCAGACGAAAGCCACGCCACCAAAAAAAGAACAAAAAACAAAATCCGTATATATTTTTTCTTCATTACCAGACTTTTTTTTTTTTTTTGGCGTGGCTTCTCTGTCCTACTGCAATAATCTAATTATTCTAATTATGAGTGTAGTAGAAGCAACAGCCTTATTTTATTTAGTATAATAAGAAATCACAGACTCCAAGAGCTAGGGTACACATACTAGAACTCGAAAGATGTAGATTGCGTATGTATTTGTACAGCAAAACAATAATATTGACTATACGTGAACTACGCAAAACCGGGCCTCCACGGTGACGCTTTCTGTAGTAATAGTAATAGTAATAGTAATAGTAATACTAATACTAATACTAATAGTAATAGTAATAGTAATAGTAATAGTAATAGTAATAGTAATAGTAATAGTAATAGTAATAGTAATAGTAATAGTAATAGTAATAGAAATAGTAATAGTAATAGTAATAGTAATGTAATAGTATTGGTAATGGTGATAGTAATAGTAATAGTAATAAAAATAATAGTAATAGCAATAGTAAAAGTAATAGTAATAAAACTAATAGTAATAATAATAGTAATAGTAATAGTAATAGTAATAGTAATAGTAATGGTAATAGTAGTAATAGTAATAGTAATAGTAATAGTAAAGGTAAAAGTAAGAGTAAAAGTAAAAGTAATGGTAATGGTAATAGTAATAGTAATAGTAATAGTATTAGTAATAGTAATAGTAATAGTAATAGGAATAGGAATACTGTTTGTAATAGTAATAGTAGGTTCTAAGCCGGATCATGTACCCAGTGTTTTTGGGCTTTTTATGGCATTAAGCTTTTGAGGCTTTTTCGGCTGCGGACACATAAGCAGCACCCTTGCAGTGCAACTGGTACTTTGCGAAGCAATAAACATCGCGATACTTGCATAAGCGATACTTGCATGCGTTTCATTTTCCAACCTAGTGCGATGTGCATGCCGTCCAGAAAACTAGCTTGCGTGGTGTAGTTTCAAAAACCGCAATGCGCGAGATTTTACGCTACACGAAAAAGTTTGACTGTTTCGTGGAAGGAAACGACGACCATGTTGCCACGATCGAGCGTGTGAGATGAGCGGCCATTCAGTAGCGATCGTGCTTGATATTCATCGATGAGTAGACGCTATTTTTCACGATCATTATGTCGTGGTAAAGTACCTGATAGCCCTGTCCGAATCCATCTCTTAATAAGAGACCATTTGCATTCGATGGCATTGGTGCTGAATCCATTCTGGTTTACGATCTCGCCCTGGGAGTGATTGACAATCTCATGACGAAGAGTCTTCTCCGATAGTCCATGAAGTTCGCGATGGGCTTTGAGAGCAGATAAAGTAGCCTTCCATTTGTCGCCCACAAAAATGTCCCCACTTTTCATTGCGTTCTTCAAGATGCGAAAAATGAAATGTGTCTTGACGTGTCCGTGGAGCACTGCACCCCACAGCCATATTTGATCACGTTCAGGGCGTCCGGAGCGTGAAAGAGCACCTGGCTTTTTTTGTTCAAATGCGTCTCATCTGCTATGAAAATACGTGCATTACCAGCATACTTCAACTGCACCTTCTTGGGCTTCGTGAGTGAGGTTGACGAGGATGAAAGTCTCTTCAAGGACGAAGCTGGTTTCTTTGCGGGTGCCGTACGAGAAGAAGGCTTCTTCACAACATGATAAGCAGCAGCAGGCTTCTTGGTATTGACTTTGCAAACAGGAGGCTTTCGAAGTAGCTCTTGAGATAAAGCACTATCAAAGCCCTGACTCATCTGCAATTGAAACCAGCTGCTCAGAGTTCCTTGGAAGGAAGCAATCCAGGAATCGATGCTATCATGTCGTGCTGGATGGAGTTCCCGAACAATTTGTTGACGAGGATACTCCAGAATCCACATAACAAAGCACTCCAACTTTGTCATCCACATGCGCTGCTTGACATGATGAAGGAAACCGATGGAAGCTGCCTGATACTGTTTATCACGGCAATCCGGACATCCAGAGATATCAGACCGACTGCCACGCCAGCAATAGCGCTGGGCTCTGAAAACTAGCGTGTACGGGAAGGAACAACTTTCGCAGACCCTCTCGTCAGGCACAAGTTTGAAAGCTTGAAGTGCAAGAAGAGCACGTGTGGCCAATGAGTCTGGTAGAGGAGCAGGATCACGAACGTCGCTATATCTCACTGTTGATAAGAACTCTGTCCTGTTCACAAAGTCCGCAACGAGGATAGCGCTCCGGAATGCGATCCAATCTGCATAAGAAGCCATGTTGCGTCAAATACTTTGGAAATTGAGCTTGATAGCTGCAGGTGTGGACGTGTAGTTCAGCACACCATGTTCATTTTCCAACACAGTGCAACAAAACAACAGCACGTCAGTACAAAATGGTATTTTCGATGCATCTGAAGCCTTTGTCCGCTGATCTCCACTGCAACCATTCGGTAGTCTAGCACCAGGCGTCTTAAAATGTGATATCCCTCTGTCGTATCTAAATGAACGCAAATCATAAAACTTCAAAGGTTATTCGACCCAGGGACTTCACAGACGCACTCACGATGCTCTGCTACGAAAGTATAGCTGCTGTTTTTCTACTCTTCCACGCCCATTGCGTCCATCTCCCTTTCCAACGGCATTTCGAGTTCATCTGGAACGTGACCCACATCAGGGAAATCCTCGTTCACGTTGTCGGTGTGGTCGCCGAAGCCTAGTAAGTGAGAGTGAAAAAACACAAATATGAAGATAAGATCGCAGTGCCAAGATACTATGTGTGAAGATTTTATACGATGTTATCTTATAATTACAACGCGATTGGCCTGGAAAGTTGCGACGTGCTTGCATCAGCAGCATCCACATGCGGACGTCTCTTTGGAGATGGTGAGGGGGTATCCAAGTCGATTGCCTGAGGGCCACTCTCCTTTAAGTTGCGGAAGGTGTGAATGACCTTTTCTTTCTTGACTTTTGCGAGAAGAGCTTGTTCCGGAAGAATAGCAGGGCGAGATTGCTCAGGATACCCTTCTATTTCATGCTTTTAGTGAAACCGTGTGGAAGGAAAACAAACAACCTATCCAACTATTTAAAATCTCGGGCTATGCTATGAAAACAACCTATGAGGAATCTAACTTTACATGGAAAGGCATGTATATTCAAAGACAAATACCGCGCTTCACCAAACAATCCACCCCTGGGCCGGTAGATGGTGCAACCACGAAGGATACTCTCGCCGTTTAGGAGACGTCGAAGAATTTCCTGTGACCACACGGAATCCTCATGATAGGACGGGGGAAGTTCGTGAGCATGCGGGTTGAGCTTGTAGGCTTTGAAGATCTCGTGCTGGGACTGGACGAGAAGATCTTTGGGCTCGTTGTCCCAGGGAATGAAGCTCACATAGTTTTGGCCGTTGCAGCAACACGATGATACACGCCACTGTCTGTAAGGACAATGAAATGGGTGCGTGCTAAAGTAGCATCGAGGTCTTCTGCTTCGTCCACAACAGTGAAGGAGGGAGTGATCAACTTGATGAAATTCTCATGAGAGATATGCCAGCACTTGGTGGTTTTCATGTTGGCGAAAGCTTCCTCATCC